GGTTTCAAAAAAGTTGTCTGAAACTGGTTATCGACCAGTCAAAATGTTTAGTACATTATTCTCAATTTAAAAGTAAATAAAATAGAAAATAGTAAATAAAATATATACTTTACCATTTAGGTTTCAAAAGTTGTTATCGAAGGAACTAATTTGGGAGGGGGATAAAAATTGTTTTTTTGAAAAATTGAGATAACGTTTTATGAAAACAATTTAAAAAAAACTTATTTATTAATTAAACCCAGTTAGATATTGAATGGTTCATGATAAAATAATCACCCTGTATATAATTGTATAACTTTTTTTCATTATGTTTAGTAATTGTATCTTGCAAAAAAAAGAAATATGGTGACTAATAAGTAAAATTTGGAAATTTTTAACAACCGTATTCTAATTTTTTAGACGATATCTACTCGAATAACAAGACGTATCCTGTTCAAAGAATTTGTGTTTTGATTGGAATATGGGTTAGTCTAAAAACAACTTCGTTCACAAAATGGTCTATGATAAATGGTGATGTATGTGAAGTACAAGTGTTAGGGGAAGAAGGCAATAACATTGTAAAATACAGGAAATTTGACGACGCATTTTACCAAGTAAAAGCAAACGACATTGATGATCGAATGCAAACACTAACTGCACAACTAAAAGAGAATTTAAGTATTCCACTTGAGTTAACACCTGAAAACGAATGATACTAGTAATTAGTAATCAAATGTTTATTTATTTTAATATTATGTATAAATAAATAAACAATTTTGTCATAATGTACTAATTTATTTTGTTTTACATAGATTTATGTATTGTTATTATTATGGTGTATTGATGTTTAACTATCATTCATATTAGCATTATTATCTTTATAATCATCAGCTGTTTGTCATAATATGCAAAATAAAATAAATAAATTCTAAAATAAACTCACGATTTTAAACACATTTATTGCAAAATTATTATTATTATTAATTTTATTATTATCATTATTATTGCATATCTATGGTTTTATTTTGACCAAAAGTGGACTTCTTGACCTAGATTGGTTGGTTAACTAAGAGGGAGAGGATAGTAAGCTCTAATCAGACTGCATCTTGCCCAATGGGAGATAAGGTTCGTCAAATATTTGGATATGATTGTTTTGTGTTTAATCGAGGTCTAACGGTTATAATAAAGGTCCTAAGGAAACATCGTTTGAGCCATGCTCGATAAAAAAAATATTTTTAATTTCAAACTACCGGACAATGAAATAAAGAAAGGTAGTATGTAGTACGGAAGTAAATTTGTAATGATCAGCTATTCATTTTATAGACGGGCGATCAACCTAATCGTGTGCACCCTAATACTAGAAGTGAATTTCTAAACACATAATTGCCATTAGGTACAATGCTCTTGTTGGTATTTGTATATTTATCTTTAAACATGGACCTCCATTACTTAATCACTTACTACTTCTACTACAACTACTAGGTAATACTCACTTACGTATAATACTATCTTACTGTGCTGGTTTATACTGTGCAGTGTGCTTAGTTTGGGCTATACTGGTTTGGCCCTACTATACACAAATTCGTATCTAGGCATCTATGTTATTCTATCAATTGAAAAACGTACACATATTATTTAGTGTAAGTCTTCGTCTTCGTAGAGAGTATAACATATCTAACTGCAGAACCAGAGGATAAAAAACCAAGTCAAGAAGAAATAGAAGCGGCCATTAAAATGCTTAAAAATAATAAGGCCCCAGGAGAAGACTCGATCATGGCTGAACTCCTGAAGAACGGTGGACAAAAACTAACGCAGGAAATATGGGACCTATTAAAAGAAATATGGAAAACTGAAAGGATTCCACCGGAATGGAACCTAGCGATAATATGCCCCATATATAAAAAAGGGGACCACATGGATGTAAAGAACTATAGAGGGATATCCCTACTTAACACCGCATACAAGATTCTATCGAATACTCTACTAAACCGATTAAGACCATACGCCAATAACATCATAGGAGAATATCAGAGTGGTTTCATGTCAGGCAGATCTACAATAGATCATATATTCACGCTCAAACAAGTAATAGAAAAGTACTATGAGTTCAACAGGCCGTTACACTTAATTTTTATAGACTTTAAACAGGCATATGACTCCGTACAAAGAGCAGAAATATGGAGATGCTTAAAGCTGTTAGGAGTCCCCTCAAAACTAATATCGATGATAAGAGTGAGTACGGAAGGATCAAGATGTGCAGTTAAATTTGGTCACGAAAAATCAGAAGAATTCCAAACAACAACAGGATTAAAACAAGGTGACGCACTGTCACCAATACTATTTAACGTCGTACTAGAGATGGCAGTAAGGGAAGTACAAGAAGAATATCAAGGAATTAACTGCGGCCGAAATCTTCCATTACTAGCATATGCCGACGACGTTGTAATATTAGGCGAAAGTGAGCAGGACATTCAAAAAGCAACGGAACTGCTGATACGAAGTGCAAAAAAACGGGGACTCAACATTAACGAGACTAAAACAAAATACATGCGAATCGGTAGGAACAAAGGTCAGATGCGAAATGCAGCTGGACTACAGGTCGGAGGATATATGTTTGAGGAGGTAGATGATTTTAAATATTTAGGCACTAACTTAAGTAGCACAAACGACAACCACGAAGAAATAAAAAAACGCATTACATCGGGAAACAAATGTTTTTACGCCCTTTCGGGGTTATTGGGGTCGAAGCTACTGTCAAAAAAATCAAAAGAACGACTTTACATAGTACTAGCTAGACCAGTGATAATGTATGCATGTGAGACATGGCCCACGACCCAAGGAGATGAGAATAGACTAGCTATCATGGAGAGGAAATTCCTTAGGAGGATTTACGGACCAAAAAGAAACGAAGACCAAACATACGAAATTAGGTCTAACAGAGAACTTCAGGAATTATTCGGAAAACCAGACATAATAGCGGAAATACGCCACAAAAGACTGAGTTGGCTTGGACATGTTCTAAGGGCTAAGTCAATATAAAATGATGTATTAAGCTGGATTCCTCAGGGAAGAAGGCCGATTGGAAGACCGAAACAGAGGTGGATGGACAAAAATAAAAAAGAACTAAATCAACTTGGAATAGATAATATTATTGAAGCAGCTCTGAACAGAGACAGATGGAAGGAGATTTGTTTTGCAGCGATGGGCCTTAATGGCCTTTAAAGCTGGAAGAAGAAGAAGAAGTCTTCGTTAGTTTTCTCTATAAAACTAACATAAAACACCATCTATTATTTATATAATTCTTTATAAAGATTTGCTTGTTAAAATTGAAAAAATTAAACATATATAAGTTAGATTTGTTGTTGTTTGGTATTTTAGAATTTAACATATAAAATGTCATTTATTTCATCATCCCTTTATTTATATACCGTTTTTAGACCATATATTTTGAAAAGAAATTTCTGATGCGTAATATACTGACGATGGTCAAACACCTTTAATTTTAAGTTTGATTTTATATTATATAACCGAATGTCCGTAATGCTTATAAAATGTAAAATGTTGGTAGGATCACAAAATATTAATTAACTAAAAATGACATTTGAACTACCATAAGTATATCATTTCATCACCGGAATTACTTGTAAAGTTATCTTTTACAACACCTTCATTTAATTAAATAAAACCATCTACCTTCAAAATAAATTTTCATAAGACTAATTACTATGGTCACGCAACCCCCTTAGACCGAGCCCTACGCACAATAAATAATGCCATGCACGTTGGTATAATCTTCGATTCTCTGTGTTTTATTTTGTCTAAATAAAACTGATATTATTTATGAGTATAGTCTTAATTATAATTGTATTGTTTCTTTATTATAACTAGGTTATACTTTAATTTAATATTTAGTCATATTAGTTTTTGTTGCTCCCGTGGCGTTAATTTACAATAAATAAATAAAATAAAATTATAATTGGTTTATTTGAAAAAAACAAATTTGCATTGCGGGTTTGTGTTGAAATAAAATAATATTATAGGTCCCACAACTGTAACTTTAAACTTCAAAAATTTCAAAAGTCGATAAAAAATAGGTATCAAAAACTAGTTATCGACTAGTAAATTATTCTCAATTTAAAAAAATTAATGGAATGTATGCTTTACCATTTAAAATTCAAAAGTTGCTGTCACAAAAACTAAACTATGAGGGAGGTGAAAATAAAGAATTTAAAAATTCAGATTCCATTGAATAAAAACAATAACATAAAAAAAAATTAATTATTTATAAAACCCTATGTAATATTGAGTGGCCTATGATAAACAAATCACCCTATATTATATATACAGGTTTCATATAAAAAATTACAATTTTTTTTTTCATATTGTTTTTATACAATTTGATCTCAATTTTTCACAATTTTTTTTTGTTTTTGCCCCCCCCCCCAACTTAGTTTCTTGATAACCTCTTTTAAAACTTAAATGGTAACTAATTAAAGTAAAATGTTTTAGTAACTTTTTAAATTAAGAATAATGTACTTAAAAAGATGACTGGTCGATAACCAGTTTCGGATAACTATTTTTGAAGTTATTGAAGTTACAAGTTTAGGGCACGAGGAAAGGAGGAACGTAGTATTAATTTTATCTGCGCATATTTTCTAACTGCACTTCCCCTCCCATCCTAACTTTAAAACTATTATAACTTGAAAAATAGTTTTGTGAAAAATTGAGATCAAATTGTATAAAAACAATATAAAAAAAATAATAAGTTTATAAAAAATATGAATTGAAAATAAAGTATGCCCCACCGCCTTATACAACGGTTTTTGTAAAATTAACAACTGGTTAGTAAAACGTTTAATCTCCGCTTAGGAATAGTTTAATATGTTAGTCAAAACGAAAAATGACTATGTTGCATATGTTAATAGTATTTGCAAAAACAAATCTGAGAAACATATTTACACTGCATTGTTTTGGTCGACATAACAGATGCCATTCGAGCATAAAAAAACCATTGAAATAGTCGGCAATTGTTAATAGTATCGTTGCAATTGTTAAAGTAAGTAATATCATCAAAACTTTAAAACTAATAAAATTGTTCACTTCCGATATGTTTTTCTAATTTTCATATTTTTTCAACATATAGACCTTCGATTACTTTAATCCACCTGTCTTATTACATTATACATCAAGACCATAAGTAGGTAATACTCTCAGACTTCAAAAGTTGTAAGTACGCTTTCAAACAGAGATGGATGAATTTTAAATACGTTTATCTAAGAATAATATACACAATTATATTTCATACTTGATATACTAAACATATGAATCCATGTTACTCCATAATATTTTATAATAAATCAATTTTTTAATACCAAATACCAATTTTTGAGTAGAGAAATTTAAAGTTGAAATTTGAAAAACCGACAATTTTTTCCAGATTTTTCTCGGTTTTGTGTGTGATTAAGTAGATTTTTCCAATTTTTAACTCACCAACGTTACCAAATCACATATAATTTCGGATACCTAAAGTAAATCGGGCCATAGATAAACATGGTTTCGTGTTTGCAAATACAAAAAACAAAACACATTTCATAGGATACTAGCTCGACATCGATGCTAAAAAACAGCTTTGTAAATAAACTAACAACGTTACACTGCAAAATATGATTTTATTTTACTGTATTGTCGAAATATGGACAACCAAAATGTACGTAGAAGTAGAACGTAGTTGTAATTTAAAATAAAAATAAAAAACTGTTCGTAGTATCTTGCTGCTTTGTTAATGATAAAAGTTTTCATCCATACCACACATACTCTAAATAAACATTTTACCGGGTGACCCGACTTATGTAAGAGTTAAGACACATCTTAGTTTTTTGTCTACAATACTATGGAATAAAAACCATATTAAATTATTATAAAAATTCTCTAAGTATTGAAAACTATAAAAAAAAATACAAGCCCCTAAAATTATAGGAAAAATTAATTTTCAATCATTTTATATTGTCCAAAAAAATGGGTGTCTCCAATCAGATGGATGAAATTGAAATTTGGATTTGATGTTATTCAAGTATAGGGGCATGGCTGATAAACGTTCTATTACATTTTTGACTCAATTCGAACTTTTAACCCACCAACGTAACCAAATCACATATAATTTCGGATACCTATAGGCCATAGAAAAAGATGGTATCGTGTTTAGAGATACAAAAAACAAAACACATTTTATATGAATACTAGCTCGGCATCGATGCTAAAAAACAGCTTTGTAAATAAACTAACAACATTACGCTAGAAAATGGGTTGTTTTAGCTTCGGTGTGGAGCTGATAAAGTATTGTTTTTACATTAATGTGTTTATTTTTATTTTATTTTTTTTTTTTATTTTTGTGTCTGGACCCACAATATCTCGTAAGCCACAGAACCGATTTCTTCGTGTAGCATCTCTATAGATCAAAAATCATACCTGGAAGGCACTTTAATAGGTCAAAAATTAAAAAAAGTAACCCCTTCCCTATCGAAATCGAGAAAACACCCAAAAATTGTACAAATTTTTCAACTTAAAATTACGATGGTCTATAACTTTTTTAAAAATAGTCAAAAAAGTTCTAAATTCATATGACTTGTTCTTCTAACATAGTACTATCGACAAACCAACAAAATACCATAAACCCTATATTCTAGAAGGGATAGAACATTTTCTTTATTTCACTTTTCAAGCAGTTTTAGAGATTTAGATCTGAAAATTAGAACGAAGGTAGATCTAAAATGGAACTATAGCATATACAATTATCTCAAATATCTGTAGGCTTACAATACAATTTTGTATCTTTAAAATACAAGTCAAGTTCAAGCTGTTTTTCAACTTGTACTTTTAGTTGTTTTAAAAAAAAATATATTTTTATAATTAATCTGAGGATTTTTTTTTGTCCAAAACATTATTCTTTTTCGATTATACCATAAAAATGTTTGTCCCAAAATCTACCCGCTTCAACTACATTACACATCTAAAAAAAATTCCACTCAAGTAATTTAAATTAACTCGAATTATCCTAAGATTTATTTTTCCAGATAAAAATGAAAATTTCCTGTATTTTATTATCATTTATCTGCGTAAATGTTTTGGCAGATATAAGTATAAGTAAGTATTTTATTTTCATACTTACACACACAAAGCAGATAAAATTCTAAAAAAATTTATATTTACTTTTTCTCTACAGAGGAATATATAGAGTTGGTTGAAATTTCAAGTAAGTAATATTTTATAATCATACAGACTAACTCTGTGAGTTTTTAAATTGTACGATTTTTATACAAACCTATTTTTTAAAAACATTTACTACAGACAAACAACTCCGGAAAGCTTCTAAACATAAAGGTAAAATTTTTGAAAGTAAGATAATATCTGATATGGGCGTACCTTGGCTTTTGTGGTTCTCCCCAAATGGGGTCCCCTACGACCACGGACCGACTAGTAGCGCTAGGCGCTAACTGCGGGCCGGGGAAGGTATGTCGCAAGAGAAGTGGTCCCATAGAAGGCTACTTAACGTTCGGCTCAACGTCACTATAGTCGCCTTTTACGACAGGTGTGAGGCCCTTGGAAGAATTCTTCCTCCCCTGTCCACAGGGATAATAATATCTAATATACTAATATAAAATTGTTGTGCAATGATTGCCTAAATGTCAAATTATTTGCAAATCAAATATAAATGTATTTACATATTTAAGCGGACGCCGCACATGCATTCTTACTGTATAAAAATATGAGTTTGCTTTCATGATACAGTGTTTCCAAAAAATGACTTACAAAAAATGTACCTCCAACACCTGAAAAATGTGAACTTTGACTTTGTTATGTTAAAATGTTATAAATAATTTCCTGCACTCCACTTCTTAAAACATGGGTGGAGTGGCATCTTCTTAATGCGGTCGATTTATATTTTCCATTGGGTGTGTGCACTATCGCACATGAAAACGAACATTTACTAGAATTTATTTAGAATTTTTCTATAGATCAAACTTTTATTTGTTTGTTCTAGATGTATTGGAGCAAGTACTTACAGTCATGATAAATAGAGATTGCTACGTAATGAGTAATAATAATTATGTTATAACAAATAAAAATCTTGGTTATAGAAGTAATTTATACAAAAAACAACAAAAATGTATCTTTAACCCTTACACTGCCAAATTGTTTTACACACTGCAACACGACCCAACCAATATTATAATGGTAACCCGTTTCAGACTTTTTAAAAATCTAATTTTATCTTATTCTACTCCTCCATATAATTCAATTCAGCCACTGTATTTTCATCAGGTTTCAAACTTATTTAATATAATTGTTATTATTTAATAGTTCTTTTGTTTCGAATTACTAATACACATGGGTATTATTTTTTCTTAACTTTTCTACTCTAGTTTATGATAAAAGAGAAAATTTAATTTAATACCATTAATTTTTGTATTGCTTATTTCAGAGTCTTTTAACCAAATGTTCACTGTACCGGGTAATAATTTTAATCGCATTTTATGAAAATATTTCCACACAGTCGTTTGATAATCATTATGTATACAAAGTTTTCGCTTTAATTTCAGAACTTGCAGATACACATAATTATGCCTGTCTAAGTGGTAATTAATTCTCACCTTTATATATTTCAAATATCATATTTTTAACGCTTCACAAAGAATTATATGTAAAATATAGGTTTCTATTACAAGTAAATATGTACATCACAATTTATTTTTTTTTCAAATTTAGATGCCATAATGACAGAAAAACATACTTTACAACAGGAAATAATTAAGATAGGTGAATAAAAATTTAATTATTAGTTATTCATTAGGTAATTTACCTTTATATTAATACTATATTTGGCATTGATAATTGAAACTGGTTAATTCAACAAACCGGGTTTGATTAACTAAACAATTTTTTTATATTTCAATATTATATTATTTTTCAATTTTATTTTTACAAATGAGTACATTGGACATGTATCGGACAAGTTGAATTTTCGTTTGACTTTTTAGATAAAAATTTAGTTTGCAACAATAATTTTGCTTATCATTCTAACCTTCTTTGCACATATGAGCCCGAATGACCTTTTTGATTACAGACGTTGTAGCTGTAGTCCTTGAATCGACAATCCCTTTGTGGTTAGTTTGTACGACCACATATCCTAAAACTTGGTTTATTTGAAGTTGTCGGGCGATCAGCTGGTTTGAACATGCACGATTGCCTCTGGTCGACTTCGTCCTCTCAATTATTTTTACCTTTCATAGTGGCCTCTTTGGCAGAAACTTTTTCTGAGAGGCTTGTGAATTTCGTGCTTTCTTTAGAAGTATCTTCTTCAAGTAGTCGGGTTTGCACTTTGCCTGGATCTATACCCACTACGAAAATGACATAGGCGTGCATTGATAGAAATTGTATTTGGATGCAAGGTTTTAGACTAAGGCACCTCGTTCGGCAACTGTTTCATCTGTACGTTTATTGGCTTAATAAAACGCACGTCTTGCAGCAATGTAGGACCTTACTGGCTTATAGTAGTTATTTAAAAGGCTAATTAATGTAGCGAAATTACGAGTGTCTGGTATACTTGGAACGCATATACTGAATGCGATTTTATGAATTTTTTCACTTTCTAATAAAAGCACTATAGCTTTTTTTGAACATCGTTTTCGATTCCGTTTGCCAGGAAAAAAATTGTCATCATAGATTCGAATATGGTTACGTCCATTTCAGGTTTAATTGTTCCTTGGATTCTAATTACTTGATTGAATTTAATTGTTACATTGGTTTCAATCATTTGTAACCATCGTATTCATAGAAAATTGCATAGTGCCAATGTTTCTTGTTTATATTTATATTCTTACCTCTACCCTTTTTTATTGTAATTTTCTATTTTGTATGAAGTCACATATTATATATTTTCTATCTTCGTATCATACTTCTTATTAAACTGTATACAGGGTGTTTCTTTAATCATGAATCAGTCAATATCTCACTGGGAATAATTGAATTTTTTTTTTTTTAATAGTTTTTATAAAACGTAATCTCAATTTTTTTTTATAACCCTCCCAACTTAGTTTTTTTTATTACAACTTTTGAAACTTTTATGGTAACGTATATATTTGATTACCTTTTTAAATATAGAATAATTTATTACAAATTTTGACTGGCCGATAACCAGTTTCGGATAACTATTTTTTAAGTTATAAGAGTTTAAAAATTAGGATGGGAGGGGAAGTGCGGTTGGGAAATGCGCGCTGATAAAAGTAATACTACATTTATAAAATATATACATTACTATTTAAGTTTCAAAAATAGCTATCAAAAAATCTAAGTTGGGAGGTGGTAAAAACAAAAAAAAAAATGTTAAAAATTGAGATCACATTGTATAAAAACAGTATGAAAAAAAAAATTCAAATATTTATTAAACCCATTGAAAAATTGACTGGTTCATGATAAAATAATCACCCTGTATTGTTTTTCATATACCTATTGTATTATGTATGCGTTACTTGTGTAATAAATGCGTAAAAGAATAATATCAATATAAAACATATAAGTACGAATATATTAATTAATATTGTATTTTTAACCATATTTAATATATATATTTATATATTTATGAATGTAAAGAAACTTTAAAACGCAACGAATTTGGCGAAAAGGCGAAAAGTTGTATTAATCAAAATGTTAAAAAAATAGGTAAATATAAATATACAATTTTAAAGATATTACTATTTTATACTTCTTTTTTACAGCATGATTCTTTATGAAAAAACACAATCAATTTTTTTTATTTATATTGATAATTTATGATTTTGTTATAGAGATACATTAATTTTTTTTTTTTTTTTCTGTAGTACACATACATTTTAATTTGATTCTTGAGCGGGAGTGGAGAGGGATTTATCGGCTTTATTCTAATATAGTATTTGGCATTATTTAATTGAAACAGTTTTGAATAAATACAACAAACCGGGTTTGATTTACTATATAATTGAATTGTTTTTTTATAACAGGTATCAATGGAGTGGTATGTACTCCGAATAATAACAAAAATCAAAGTAATTACAAAGTTATTCGTTAGTAGTAAATAAAACTTCTTGCTTGTTTTAATTAAGATAAATTTTACTTTATCTTTTTTTTTGCTTACACAATTTTGACCATAAAGTAAATGTTTAAAACACATAAGAGTGGTACCTAACTAAATAGAAAAGACAAAATAATAAACATAAAAAAATAGATTATTATAAAGTTTAGAGTGATGAAGGCATTCATTCAAACGTTGGTACAGAGTTATTTTATGTTGTTAATAAATTTAGCTTCGATTAGTTGGTCTAACTAATTTTATTTTTAGAATGACTGTTATGTATAAATATAACAACTGGGTTCAAATAAGTGTATAATTGTTTTATATTTATAATACAGAAATTTCTCTGGCTGCTGTTCCAAGTTCAAGCAAAAGTAATTACAAAGTTATTCGTTAGTTATAAATAGATTTTATGGCTTGGTTGAACGATAACATTTTCTTTATACATTTTTTGTTTATACAGTAATTACATTTAAGTACAATTTATTTGGGTATAATTAATTACATAGAACGACTATTATATTAAAGTAATATTTTGAACGGTGTATATACATTTTTAACATTTACCACAATATACAATAATTATAAACATAGGTAACAATTATTATTTGTTGTCAAGACGTTTTAAGTTTATAAATACTTGTGACTTGATAGTCAAAACTCTATACTCGAATCATAGCATTACTAACTATCATATATACTTACTATACTAAAATTGTATAGATCGTATATGTAAAATAAAGGAGAAAAAAAAACTCATTAGAGGGGATTTTGCAAAAACAAGAAGTTTCTTTTGTTTGTAGAAGACATAAACCTTTTTTTATTATTACATTAACTGTGGACTAACTGTTGCCTCCTACATACTGAACCTAGTTTTTTTCTTTATTTTGGCTCATTCCCATGGTCAATCACTGTATACTGATAATTTTTATATTTTAACATTTTCCATGAACCGTAATCCGCTACTGCACGATCACTTTCTTCATGGTATTCCATCCCATCAAGTTTTTTCTATTAAAGATCTTAAATTCGGTAGGTAAAAGGGCCTTAAAAGACGTGGGTTTTATGTTAAAACTAAATTTGCATTCATTAATTGGTCAAATCAATCTCAATTTTAAAGTTACTGTTATGGATTAGTATAACAAACAGGTTCGATTAACTATATAATTACTTTTTTTTTTGTTACAGGTAGTACTCCTAATGATGATGAGAGAAATAGAATTTACGAAGCTACTAGTTAGTTGTAAACATAACTTATATCTTATTGGAACAATACAATTTGCTTTGTATACAGTTTTGTTTACACAACAATCGAGTTAAAGTTGGGAAAACTTTATTAAGGGTTCTAGAATGGAGTAGTAGTACAATAAAATTTTAAGGAAAGGGCCAGATAAGAATTGAGAGAATACAGAATACGTTTTTAGCCTATATCGCCTTTTTACTAAAAATACAGCACCCTCTTCACGACTACATCGCTATCCAAAGTTTTCTTAACATAGCTTCTTTACCTTAGCTGATTTTCGAACCAACGCTGATCTCTATTTTATTTTTTCAGACCTTCTAGACTCCATGAATAGATAATACTGCTGATATTCTAATTGACATATATTTTTTCGTTCCTCCCTACTCTGTTTGTACTTATTAGGACATTAAATTTTAATTTAAATACGAATATATTAATAAATATTATATTTTTAAACCAGTTATTCATTTATACATTTATACAGGTTCTCAAACTACACAATTGAAAGAACTTGGAAAGGCGAGAAGAGATTATACTGAAAACGTCATAATAAATGTACTTAAAAAAAAAATAGGTGATTATAAATATAGAGTTTTAATGCTAATTTTTTATTATTTTATAATATTTACTAACATAATAATAATTAATATAACATTTGAATTTTTTTCAAGAGCTCTTACAACTAAAATAAATTGCTGAAAATGTTATTGGTCGAGAACTAGTTTTAGATAATTAGTTTTGAATTAACTTTCCCTCCCTTAGTTCACTCCATTAGTCTTCCCTAACCTTTCGTTCTGTTAATAACTTAAAAAATAACTATCCCCAAATAGTTATCGTTCACTCAAAATTATCTTTAACGGGAACTAATCTTATTTTTACTAATAATTATTTCAACTATGTCTGAGACTTTTACTGTTATACATGTTATACAGGGTGATTCTTTTATCATGAACCAGTCAATATGTCAATGGGTTTAATTAATAATTGAATTTTATTTTTTAATAATGTACTTATAAAACATGGTCTCAATTTTTCACATTTTTTTTTGTTATTACCCTCCTTCCAACTTAGTTTTACCTTCGATGCTATAATAAATATTAAAATTCACACTATGCATTGGTGCTTGCTTACTTAGTTAAAATTTTTAAGAAACATTTATTTAGTATGCCCGCACACGTCAGTTGTATCAAATTTTAATTATACCCATTTCCCATCCTTTTAGGGACGGTGCAAATTTTTTTAGTTTTTTAGGCCGTTGTTCGAAGAATTTAAGTAAAAAATTTGTTAGTAATTAGAACTCATATGTATCCATACTATATTAAACGAAAAAAAAAATTCGGCACTACAGTTTTTCTTGAATTTAAATTGATTATGTGTTATTTGGGCCACTATGTTTTTCCAAAAAAATAACCAGTAGAGTGGGGTCGGGGTATAGTAGGGAAGGGGAGTTCACAGGTTTAAAGACATTTTTAAATCTGAGTATCTCATGTCACTACAGTCCAAACCAAGCACATTATAAACCAGAAAAGTAAGGAAGTACTAAATTGAGGTGCTGTATTTACAAATAAGCATCAAAGCGTCAGAGCGAAAGTGATTTTTCCCGAAAGGAGTAGTACAGTGGATTATAGGCATACTGGAATGAAAGCATAGATGGGACGGAGAGGTTATAAGACTACAGGAATAATTATAAAGAAAAGTGATAAAATTGAATAAAATCACTTTCAAATAAACGTTTTGATGATTATTTGTAAATACAGCACCTTAATTTAATACTTCCTTACTTTGCTGGTTTACACTGTGCTTGGTCTGGACTGTACTGGCTTAAAAATACTAACTACCGATTTGCATCGAAGCGTTTTTACGAAAGTGATTTTATCACTTTCAAATTTAAAAATTCCTGTAAACCTGTGACCTACTCGTCCCCACTATACCCCGAAACCACTGTACTGTTTTTTTTGGTAGCAACTTTGAAAATTAAATCGTACGGTATATATTTTAGTAACTTTTTAAATTAAGAATAATGTACTAAAAATGTTGTCTGGTTGATAACCAGTTTCGGATAACTATTTTTGAAATTTCAAGTTTATGGCAGGAGGAAAGGTGGAGAGTATTTTTATTTTTATCTGCGCGCATTTCCCGACCTCCCATCCTAACTTTTAAACTCTTATAACTTAAAAAATAGTTAGCCGAAACTGGTTATCGGCCATTCATAATGTTTAGTACATTATTCTCAATTAAAAAAGTAAATAAAATGTATACGTTACCATTTAAGTTTCAAAAGTTGTAATCGAAAAAACTAAGTTGGGAGGGTTATAAAAAAAATTGAGATTACGTTTTTATAATAACAATTTAAAAAAAAAACTCAATTACTAATTAAACCCAGTGAGAAATTGACTGGTTCATGATAAAAAAATCACCTTGTATATAATTGTATAATTTGTTTTCATTACGTTTAGTAATTGTATCATGCAAAAAAAAAAAGAAATATGGGAGCTAATAAGTTAAATTTGGCAATTTTTAACAACAGTTTTCTGATTTTTTAGCTGAAATCTACTCGCATAACCCGACGTATCCTAGTCATAGAATTTGTGTTTTGATAGCAATATGGGTTAGTCTAAAAACAACTTCAAACACGTCTTGTACATATTATAGTGGTGTATGTAAAGTGCAACTGTTAGGGAATCTAGTCAAAAATACTGTAATGTACAGAAGATTCAGCAACAATTACTACCAAGTACCAGCAAACGACATTGGTGATCAAATGCAAACACTAACTGCACAACTACAACAGAATTTAAGTATTCCACTTGAATTAACACCTGAAAACGAATGATACTAGTAATTAGTAATCAAATGTTTATTTATTTTAATATTATGTATAAATAAATAAACAATTTTGTCATAATGCACTAATTTATTTTATTTTACATAGATGTATGTAATGTTATTATTATGGTGTATTGATGTTTAACTATCATTAATATTAGCAATATTATCTTTATAATCATCAGCTATTTATCATATGCAAAATAAAATAAATAAATTCTAAAATAAAATCTTGATTTTACACACATTTGTTGCGAATTATTATTATTATTATTATTGCGTAACTATGGTTTTATTTTGACCGAAAGTAGACTTCATGGCCTAGATTGGTTACCTAAGAGAGAGAGGATGGTAAACTCTCGCCAGACTGTATTCTGCCCAAAGGAAGATAATATATAGTATTAACACGTGACAAGATTCAATTTTTTTTTTAATACTTATAATTTGTTGGTCACATATTTGGAAATGATTATTTTGAGTGGTCCTAAAAAACATCGTTTTAACCATGCTCGACAAAAAAAAACATTTTTAATTTTAATCTACTGGACAATTAGTTGACCAACTAATTTAAGTAAATACAAAAAATACCTTTATGACATGCCATTTAAAACGTTTTAAATACCTAATTTTTTAATTTTCGCATTAGTCGCTTATTTGATCCAAACTGGTATTTTGATAGGTAATTGCTTATTTTTCCATTCTTACGAGTATAACTTTTGTTTTTTTTTTAAAGATAAGTGATGTAAAGCTAATCGTTTTGTTACCATTTGTGATACATATTTCGATGTATAATTGAAAGCGTTCGATAAGTTCCAAATATATTGCAATTGAGAACAAAGTAAATCCGGATAAAATTAATTTTAAACAATTGTCGGACCTTAAATAAATTTAATTGATGGACAACCATTTAAAAAGCGAAAATCGATAATAATATATTTAAGAGTTTTAAATTTGTGTGCTGTCTGGGAAACTGAGTTAAATTCACAGATGGAAAAAAATTTAATTTTAGACAAAATTTTTTTTTTCTCTACATTGAACGTAGTCATAATTTAAAATTAAAAAAAAAATTGTTCGTATGTCCTTGATGCTTCGTTTATATTTATCATAAACGAAGCAGCATAAACGTTTTAACATAAATGTTTTCATCCGTACCACATATACTGTAAATAAACATTTTCATATTATACCAGGTGATCCATCCTATGTAAGATATTTTACGTATAAGAATATGGACTTCGTTTTTTCCCAAATGAGAACATTTATGTTTTTAATACCATAGTAATGTAAATAATTTTTTTTAAATGTTTAATTTTTAATTTCCACCTATCTGTTTATTTGCTGATCTTCGAAGTCATCTTTGACTTTGTAACGATTCATTATACATCAAGGCCATGAGTAAGTAATACTATCAGACTTTTGTTTTAAATTCATTTTAATACCAAATACTATTTTTTAAAAATTTAATCTTGCAGGTTCAGAATTGTTAAAATTTGGATTTAAGGTTATTTAAATATTGGGTTTTAAAAATAATTATTACTGTTTTATAATTGGTGTATTTTATAAAAATTAAAACCACTTCTCTGGTTTTTTGTTTCGTTTGCATATTCGTAATTTGTATTGCTATTTAATAATAATATAGTTTAGACCTAAATTTGCTATCTATTTACAGTATCTATTACTAATGTGCTATTTTTATCTTATTTTCTATTATCATTGATTCTTAAAACTTTAAAATTTTTGCAATCTACATATTTTGTTATTAAAAAATGTATGGTCTAATGTCAAAAAAATAACAAATCTATCTGAAAAGTAACCTTAGTATCAAAATGATTCATACCTAATACTTACCAGGCCTAATATGCCCCACCGCTTCTGCTATGGCTTTTGTTATGATTTTAAAGATCGTAACACATGTTTTTTGTAACTGGTTAGTAAAACGATTAAACTACGCTTAGGAATAATGTAAATATGTTAGTCATAACGAAAAATGACTATGTTGCTTATGTTAATAGTATTCGCAAAAACAAATCTGAGAAATTTATTTTTACATATATCTAATATATTACATATCATCCAGTCAACATTTTTAGTTCATTATTCTCAATTTAAAAAGTTAATGAAATATAAACGTTACCATTTAAGTTTCAAAAGTTGCTATCAAAAAAAAGTTGTGAAGGGGGTAAAAACAAAAAAATTGTGAAAAATTGAGATCACGTTTTATAAAACATTATAAAAAAAATGAATTATTATTTTAAACCAGTGGGATATTGACTGGCTTATGATCACCCTGTATATCAATAATGATGTATGCGTTAGTAATACCTACTATTAGGGGGTAAAGTCGAATATTTTTTTAAATACAGATCATTTGAAGGGCAATATTGGCAAGTAAATGAAAATGACATGGTAATCAAATAAACAAACTAAATGTACAACTACGCAAGGATATCAGTACTCCACTTGAGTTAACAGCTTTATTTAAACAAATAAAAAAATTTTGGATATTGCACTAATTTATTTTATTACATATTTATTTATTTATTATTATTATGTAGTATTGTTGTTTAATTATCATTAGTATTAGTTATCTTTATTATCATCAGCCGATTATCATATGCACAATAAAAAAGTCAGCCATTTTTTAGTCTGAACACGATAGAACATTTTCATGTCGCGTTGAAGTACCGAATAAATTTCAGGATAAATAGGTTAGGTTAGTTAACGAGTCACACAAGTCGAAAGTTTCCAAAAAAATTTCAAAGTACTATTGACGAAAGAAAGTAGTTTTTATATTGCATGAAATACATAAAATTAATATGCGCGATACAGTAATGTCGTTGCGAATTTATACGAGCAAGAGAGCCAGGCGTCGGAACTGGTTGGACGCCGTAGGCGATGGTTGAATCCTGACGGTCTTAAAATAATTGCCTCATCTCTGATAGTAGGGTGCTCATATACTCTAAAATACGTAGAAATTTCTTCTCTTCATCTATACTCTTGAAGAGTGCGCTGAGTCGACTCTGGTGCCACTTAATTTTCGTATCAACGAGCTGTGAAAAAAGAATTATAGTCCATTATAATAATAATTTGAGAAAATTATTTATAACTATACTCACTTTTTTGTTAACGTACGGTCCATAATGCGCGCTACCATGTCGTCATTGACGACATCACGCACTTTTTGTACGAAATCGTTGTGCACCGCTTTCGAAGCTGCGTACTCGTCCACCTTTGCGTCGTTGTTGTCATCCATCGATTCGCTTAAAGTAATCGACTACACCAAAAGGACTGCACGTAGATTTCGACAGAATGTACATGATCGTGTCTACGAGTTTGTCGAAGTAAATACAGCACGTAACCGGGTCTTCGTTGACAAGTGTCGTGCGCAAATCACTGCTCATCGACGTTTCGGTTCGCCTTCGCCGGTCCATTCACGCCCGTTGTTTTCAAGGCGGTATAGCAGTCGTAGCAGGTCATTCCATTCGTATTCTGACGCACTTATCGTGAGAAAGATCGTTGGCTTACCGAGCTGACGGATCATTGCGAAAACGTTTTTTTTACGTGCCGACCAATAGTGTACGGAATTGGGAATCGATTTAAGGTAAGCGAAATTCTGCCCCACCAAAACCGCCATCCGTTCTTTATCCTCCATTTGCGCTTTTGTCAGGCTCCTCGTGTCGCCGGTCGATTTAAACACACGGTGCATCCCGTCGGACGGCCGAAGTCGCATAACCTTCATCCCGACTGACTGTCCGGGCTGACCGATGAATAATAAATTACATTGAATTTATTATTCATTTCTATTTTGAACGTTGAACGTACAACATAATTTAGCTAATACGTACTTAACCTAACGTAGCTAATAATTATTGTATGGTATATAGTGTTACAAGATGGATTTTGATGAATTTTCGTCACAAACAATGGACGCTGAAAAATATCAACGCTTTCTACAACAGCAAAACCGAGTATGTAAGAAAGTAGATAATAGATCCGATCCATCCAACGAGAAAATTGACATCGATCCGATACCGAATTTGCAACTAACGAACCCTGATGCGGTGGAGCTAACGCCGACGCAGATAGATGAGCAAAAGGAACCACCGAAGACAAACACGGAAATACAGCGCGAATACCGAGCACGCAAGAAATTACAAGCTGTTAAGAATTACGCAGAAGAGATGGAAATTCGTGATGTAAACCATTCGTACGTTTCACCACCTTGCTCTCCCGCCGATCTACAATTCGACGAGCGCTTCACGTCAAATCACTTCGGTTTCTCTTGTGCCGTCTGTGACCGCTTATGGTTTCAACGCGATTTGCGTCCGGTACCGGCTAATTCGCACGCTATGCTCATTTTCAGTAACGAATTTCACAACGAAAACGTATCCGCATTCCAAACTTGCGACAACTGCTACAGAAATATATGTGCCAACAAAATTCTGCGTTTGTCTGAACGACTCATCTCTCCACGATTTCCTTTTATGCAAATACGTCTGCTTCGATTCGTAAAAATGTCGAAAACGATAAGTCATAAACGGGAAGAAAAGCGAGGTAAAAGCGTGGCTACGGTATCTCGTCAACACACCGCTATATCGGGAGCACGGAGTAACTGTAGATGAATCCGCTGTACGCCGAAGATTTGTGTATTTGATGTTTTTTAATATGCATGTTGCAGGCGTAATCGTCATCGAGCTGTCGGTCACCATGTTATTCACCTCGACCGGTACGTTTATGACTTGGCCAACTATCGTTTTCGACCCTTTTACGAATCAAAGCCGACGTATTTTCATAAAAGGTAGTCGTGGAGAGATGAGTCGTTCAGTTATTGGATTCAGCGGAGGCAAATAAGCTGGCATCGGTGGATACGCAAATCCGTTGGAGCGCGACAAACGCAGAATTTTGTTGGCACATATATTTCTGTAGCAGTTGTCGCAAGTTTGGAATGCGGATACGTTTTCGTTGTGAAATTCGTTACTGAAAATGAGCATAGCGTGCAAATTAGCCGGTACCGGACGCAAATCGCGTTAAAACCATAAGCGGTCACAGACGGCACAAGAGAAACCGAAGTGATTTGACGTGAAGCGCTCGTCGAATTGTAGATCGGCGGGAGAGCAAGGAAGTGAAACGTACGAATGGTTTACGTCGCGAATTTCCATCTCTTCTGCGACATTCTTAACCGGTTGTAATTTCTTGCGTGCTCGGTATTCGCGCTGTATTTCCGTGTTTGTCTTCGGTGGTTCCTTTCGTTTATCTTTCTGCGTCAGCGTTAGCTCCGCCGCATCAGGGTTAACAATCTCCAATTTCTTGCGTGCTCGGTATTCGCGCTGTATTTCCGTGTTTGTCTTCGGTGGTTCCTTTCGCTCATCTATCTGCGTCGGCGTTAGCTCCACCGCATCAGGGTTCGTTAGTTGCAAATTCGGTATCGGATCGATGTCAATTTCCTCGTTGGATGGATCGGATCTATTATCTACTTTCTTACATACTCGGTTTTGCTGTTGTAGAAAGCGTTGATATTTTTCAGCGTCCGTTGTTTGTGACGAAAACGCTGTATTGTTGACAAACGCCCAAAATTCGTCAGAATCCATCTTGTAAGAAACACTATACACCATACAATAATTATTAGCTACATTATGTTAAGCACGTATTAGCTAAATTATGTTGTACGTTCAACGTTCAAAATAGAAATGAATAATAAATTCAATGTAATTTAAGAGGTCGAATTGTTCAAGCCGGATTTTATGAAAACACTACAATTTTAGCCAGAAACTTGATTGTACATAATTTTTTAATCTCTTTGGCTTATGTTGTAACTAGTAGCTCCATGGAACTTCATGATCTTTTTTATGATCTGGCCAAAAGTAACTTAACACAGAGAATTAAACTATTTTGAATTTATTATTTACGTTGAACGTACAACATATCTCTTATCTCATATCAGATAACAGCGTACCGCTTTTTTTGGTAACACTAAGTAAATAACGCTTTTTACGGTTATGTACCAAAGCTAAGACATGAAAATGTCAGTAAATAAATTCTAAAATTAACCATTATGCTCACGATTATTAAAACATTTGTTGCGAATTATTGTTATTATTATTGCGTATCTATGGTTATATTTTGTTCGCTATTTCATTGCATATTGTGTCGTCATGTTTCATGTGTTATTATAATTCTCATAAATCATTGTTTTACTGAACTAGCGTCATTTTTAAATTTAATAGCATATAATTAGTTGTTTGTCTGTCCACCGTCAACGTGCCAGCCATAATCTCTAAATTGGTGACCACGCATCTCACACGTGGTTTCTCGACACTCGTATATTTTTTTCCGTTTCTCTCTTCGCTCGTGTTCTTGTACGTTTCAGTGCGTTTGGTAACATGCCGAACAATGTTGTTGATACTTTTAACGTGGAAGACAAAGTGGTCTCCACGCCACCGCCGCAAGATAACATCACCGAAATCGCGCACGTGCGTCTGCCGGGGTTTTGGCGCCACTCGCCGCAACAGTGGTTTGTGCACGCCGAAGCCATCTTCGACATCCTACGCATCCGTTCTGAATCGTTACGGGTCAACCACGTGCTCGTTGCGCTCGACGAACAAATCGTGCGCAACGTGTCCGACCTAATCGGCGCTAATACGTTGTACTCAACAATCAAAGAGCGGCTGATCGCGGCCTATACCGTGTCACCTGACGCCCGTTTCCGGAACATCGTTCGGCCAGGTGGTTTGGGCGATCGCTCACCGTCTCAACTACTCCGTGACATGCGCAATCTGTTGCCAGAAGGCATCGGCGAATACGCTCTTAAACAGTTTTGGCTGCAAAAACTGCCAGCATCCACTACCGCTATCATTGCTGGACAAGACGGGGTCTTGGAGGAGCTCGCCGCACGAGCCGATCGGGTCATGAAGGCCACCAGTGCTTCTTTTGACGTTCACGCTGATGCGGCAGAGAACCCGTTGGAAGACCGGTTTCGTGCGATCGAAAACACCATAGCCGACCTCACTACACAGATCGCCGCTTTGGCCGCAACCCCGGCACTCCGGAGCCGCTCCTCTCGTGATGGCAGGCGGTCTCGCTCGTTTGCACGCCTGCGTTCACGGTCTCCACTGCGCTACGACGTTTGGTGCATCTTCCACCGACGGTTCGGTGAGAAAGCACGGCACTGCCTGGACCCCTGTTCCTTTCAGTCGGAAAACTGATGGCGGCGGCGGAAGCTGCGATGCTTTTCGCCACGTCAAGTTCTCGACGTGTGTACACAAGCTAAGCAACATATTAGCTCTCACCCTTATCAGCCAGTGGTTCACACGTTTTGGCCTACCCGACGTAGTGACTACCAATAAAGGCCGGCAGTTTGATCTCATCTTTTCAACGCTCTAACGATTTCATTTGGTATCTAACACATACGGACAACGCCTTAGCACCCACAGACGAATATGATGGTCGAGAGTTTCCAAAGAACCCTTATGGAAGCTAAAAAGGGGCTTTACCGCCCATGCCCATTTTATACACATTCTAGTTTAACCATATATATTTTTTAACATAAAAAATGTTTGCAACATCGAGTATTTTACTAAATAAGAAGTGGGAGAATAATTTATAAATATAAAAACATGTTTCAAATAAACTATAGTCATTTGAATATAATAAATTTTGTGTATGTAGAAAAATGTAAACAGTATATTAATGGATGATTATAATAACGAATGTGATGTTTTTTGATATATTTTTGTAAATATGACCCCTTGAATATGTTTCAACCAAATCACAACTAACAATTAATGAAGTAATAATATTTAAAAATAATTTTTAGGCTTAAAAATATTATAGTTTGATTAATTGTGGAACTTAGCCATAAATCATCGTCTTAAAAAACAAAATAATTTCATTAGACTTGTCCGCTTACATCAGTTACTTTTAGAGCATATTAAAAATGTACTAAACGTTAATTTCGATTTTATGTTTATGTAATGGAGAAAAATAACGAAGACTTACAAAATATAATATATGTACGATATTCAATTGATAGAATAACATAAAGGCTTCGATGCGAATCGGTGGACAGTAGGGTCAAACCAGTACAGTCCAAACCAAGCACAGTAAGAAAGTAGGTATTATATGTAAGTGAGTATTACCTAGTAGTAGTATTTCATTAGATTGGTCTGCTTACATCAATACCTTATAGAGCGTATTAATAAAAAAACTACTAAACGTTACTTTAGATTTTATTTTTATGTTTTAGAGAAAAATAACGGAGGTCCATGTTCACAGATAAAAAGACATATGTCCATTTACCTAGTAGTAGTAGTAAGTGATTAAGTAATAGAGGTCCATGTTTAGAGATAAATATACAAATATCAACAAGAGCATTGTACCTAATGGCAATTATGTGCTTAGAAATTAATTTTTTGTGTTAGGGTAGACCTGATTAGATTGATTGCCCGTTTATAAAAATGTATAGCTGATTAAGACAAATTTACTTCTATGCTACATATTATTTGTTCTTTATGTCATTTTGAACCTATAAAATCAAATAACACGTTTAGAAGACATATGTATTGAAATTAAAGTGATTCAATCCTAACAACACTATTTTTGAAGTCATTGAAGTATCAAGCTAAGGGCAGGAGGAAAGGTGGAGTGTAGTATTATTTTTATCTGCGCACATTTCCTAACCGCTCTTCCCCTCCCGTCCTAACTTTAAAACTATTATAACTTGAAAAATAGTTTTGTGAAACTGGTTATCGACCAGTCAAATTGTTTACTACATTATTCTCAATTTAAAAAGTTAATAAAATATTTACGTTACCATTTAAGTTCCAAAAGTTGCTATCAAAAAACTAAGTTGGGAGGGGATAAAAACAGAAAAACTTGCACATGTTTTTTTTTTTTGTTATTGTTGTTTTTGCATTATTTGAAAAATTTACAATCCGAGCTGGGTGATAAGATTACTTGGATGGTTGGCTGTTTACTGCGGTATCTAGAGTAGTATAAAGAGGCAACTTCTTTAACGGGTTTTTTCTTTTAAGTCTATGTGTTATTGTTTATTGGTGACAAACCAAGGCGCCTTAGTAACAATTCGCAGGTATATTGACTGAAATGCCTGGATTGTTCTCGAGTAAGATGACTTAGATGTACCCCAAAAGAGAACTCTGTAAGAAAATGTGGGTTGGAGTAGACATTGCCCGGCCTGTTCGGTTTCCGCCTCGCCCGCGGAATCACGCTTCCTCCATCTTTTCCCGAACCGACCCATATTATAAAATATATATTATTCACAATATATATATTTTATTTATTTTTATTCTCGTGTTAGCGGAGAACATTTAATAAACGGGCCCAGTGCCACGGACCAAAAATTGTATTAAATAGAATATATTTTTTTAATATTTCCCCTTGTCTTTTTTTTTTTTTAATTTGACGTATGATCCGCTAAACAGGTCCCCTCGAAAATTAAGATCACATTGTATAAAAACAAAATGAAAAAAAAAATTGTAATTTCTTATTAAACCCTATGAGATATTAAGTGGTTCGCGATAAGTGGATCGCCCTGTATATATCATATATATATATATATATATATTTCTAATAGATAGCAATGAACAATATATGTATAGTATTGTTTATTTTTATCGGAGACCTATAAAATCAAATAACAAGTTTATAAAAAATATGTATTGAAAATAAATTGATGCATACCTAATTTTTTCCATGCCTAATATGACCCACCACCTCTAAAATGGTTTTTGTTTTTTTTAATTCTATATCTGATTCGTAAATGTTTAAACTCCGCTTCGGAATTATGTAAATATGTTCGTCATAACGAAAAATGACTATGTTGCATATGTTAATAAATTCGCGAAAACAAATTTTTATAAAATATTTACATTGCATTGTTTCGGTCGACATAACAGATGCCATTCGACAAGTCGTAAGAAAATCATTGAAACAGTCGGTTTAACTATCGTTGAAATTGTTTAAGTAAGTATTACTAACAAAACTTCAAAAAAAGTTAAAACTGTACACTTTCAGTATGTTTTTCTTATAGAATATTTTTTATCCGCATCTAGACCTTCGATTCATTATACCTCAAGTCCATAAGTAAGTAATACCAGTATAAGACTTCAAAAGGAAATATGCTTTCAAACTAAGACTTGTGAATTTTAAATACATTTATCTAATATAGTATACAAAAATATTATATTTTATATATGGTATATTATATTTACAAGTCTATGTTTCTTTATACAATATAATATCAAAATCAATTTTAAAACCAAATACCATTCTTTATAAGTTTTTAGAAAGTTAAAGTCAAAAAACTCAAAAAAAAATTGTTGTATGTAATTTTTTGGTTTAGGGGTAAGGAAGTTAATTTTTTCTACTTTTGACCCACCAATGCATTTATAATTTTGGATACCTAAAGTAGATCGGGCCATAGTAAAACATGTTATCGTGTTTACATATACAAAAAAACAAAACACACACCATAGAATTACTAGCTCGGCATCGATGCTAATAAACAGCTTTGCCAATAAACTAGAAACGTTCAGCTGCAAAATATGTTTTTATTTTACTGTATTACCGAAATAAAGACAAACATCATAATATACCTAAATTTTAAATGCGCGTTTCTGATGCAAAATTTTTATTTTCAATTTCGTATCTTTAAAACACATCTCAAGTTCAACCTATTTTTTATCTTGTATTTTAGTTTGTTTAAAATATAAATAACATTTTTTGAAAATTAACGGTAATATCAGAACACATTATCTTCTAGTTAGTTAGAAAATTTTGGTATAAGCAGTATATCTAAAAAAATAAATAGTAGTAGCTAAAAATGTATAATTTATTTTCTAAGGACTTCTTTGTCCAAAACATTATTCTTTTTCATTTATACTATAAAAATGTTTGATAAAAATCATCATGGGCCACGAGTAATAAGCACTTTGCTTGGTTAAGTTTTGCCACTGGGAAGTATAGTGTATCTTTTGTGTAGGTATGTCTCTAGTCAAATTACATAAAATTAATAAAATTAAACATCTTTTTCAACTAATACCTTCTCATCTGGACCACACCGGTAGCGCCTGAGCCATGTATAAATTGCATTTATGTTTATTAATTTTTGCAGATAAAAATGAAAGTTTCCTGCATTTTATTATCATTTATCTGCGTAAATGTTTTGGCAGATGTCAGTATAAGTAAGTATTTTATTTTCATACTTACCAATACAAGTTAGTTAAAAATCTAAAAATTAATATTTTACTTTTCTTTACAGCAGAATATATACATATGGTTGAACTTTCAAGTAAGTAATATTTTTTAACCTTACAGATTAACCGTGTATGTTTTTAAATTTTACTGTTTTTAAACATACCTATTTTTTAAAAACATTTACTACAGACATGCATATCAAGGAAGCTTGTGACTATAACGATGGTTCTATAGGAAGTAATATAATAACTAATCTACTATTATATAATAATTATTTTATAAGTGATTGCACGAGTTATAATATATTACCAGTGTGCCAAACACTTTTTTTAAGTTATGATAGTAAAATAATTAGTTTTTATGCCACACATGGCATTTTATGGTAAAAAACACGAGTTTGCTTTTGTGATAGAGCACTTCAAAGGTTATCTTACAAAAAAGTTACCTATATCACCTGAAAGTTTTAATTTTTATCTGGGTATATAAGTGAAGATTTTGTTAAAAATTGTGAACACCTAACTTCTTAATAAATGGGTAGTGTCTAATTTGTAGTATTATACATTCTATTTAGGCCGTGCTCCATCGCATATATGCACGAGCCGTCACTGAAAGTTACTGTAATTAACTAATAGCACACCTGATTCTAGGAATGGTATAATTACCCCAATTAGGGGAGTTGCTTGATACATGGTGTAATTTTTTCAAATGATTTTTATGAACATTTGATTTTACTTGAAACTTTTCTTCTGTTCAAACTTTCATTTGTTTGTTCTAGATGGATTGGAGCGTGTAATTATATACGCTTTAGATACAAATTTCTGTCCAACGAGTAATAATTATTATATTTTAATAAAAACAAATCTTGCTAATACAATAATTGTATACGAATAACATTAAAAAGGATATTTTAACCTTTTCACTGCCATTGAGTTTTCCAAATGCAATACGTCCCATCCATCACTGTAATGGTAACCTGTTTCAGACTTTTTAAGTGATTATGATGTAATTGCACGTCCACGATAGTAAAAGGATTAGGACAAATATTAAGTGATAAAAATCTTATTTTATCTTATTCCGTTCCGAATTACTAAGACACATATTACTTTTTCCTAACTTTTCTACTTCGACTTTTCTACTACTATTCTTCGACAGTTAACTTAATACCATTAATTTATGTATTGCTAATTTCAGAGTCTTTTCATCAAATGTTCACTGTACCGGGTAATAATATTAATCGCATTTTATGGAAATACTTCCTTACAGTCGTTTGTTAATCATTAAGTGTATAATGTTTTCGCTTTAATTTCAGAACTTTCACGAACTAACTACTTTGATTATCTACAAGGTAATCAATTACCACTTTTATAAATTTTAAATTTCATATTTATGATACTTCGCACAGAATTATATGTACAACATTGGTTTCTATTACAAGTTTATATTATTTTCAAATTTAGCATCCATAATGACAGAAACACATTCTCTGCAACGGAAAATATTTGAGACATTAGGTAAATATAAAATGTTCAATTTTGTAGTTAAAATTTTTTAAATGACATGAACTGTGAGTGTGAACAAACTACAAAAAATATTAGGTTATTACATTTTTTAGAGATTTAAAACAAATAATTAAACAATTTCAAAATATACGGATTATAATTAGATTCATCAAGGAATAATAGATCACAAGAACTCTTTTTGAAATATAATGAACAAAAAAAAAAAATAAACATAAATATTATATTTTTATAACATTCTATGTTAATAAATTAATCATTCAAACTTTGCTAAACAATAATTCCATGTTAATAATATATTTTGCATTCACTAATTGGCAAACTAGTCTAGTTTTCAGATTGAATGTTATGGATAAATTTAACAACTGGGTTGAATAACTGTGTAATTATTTTATATTTTTGTTACAGGTATTCCTATGCCGGTTATTCCAAACGAAAGTAATTACAAATGTATTCGTTAGTTACAAATTGAAGTTATGGCTTAATTATACGATCAAATTTTCTTTATTTATTAAATTGTTTACACAATATTGGTAATAAATTAAAATTTAGTTGGGTGACTTATATAACATATAACAACTATTATGTTTACGGTTAGGTATTGTTTTAGTCTTTACTTGTATGCAATTTGGCGCTTTCCGTTCCTCTTAACGAATACCTGTGACTTGACAGACCAAAAGCTATACTTGAGTCGTAGCTCCATTGACAGTAGTACCCTGTGCCAATTGGCATTGGAAACCCCTAATCTTTTGGATCACATATCGCCTTTCCGATAGAAAACGAAGCACTAAAGCGGTTTCTGATCCATCTACTGTCTCCCCAGGCTTCTCGCAGGAGGACCACCTTAATCCTATTTAATTTCGTAAACTCAATAACAGGAACATTTACTTAGGTATCGAGCTCATTTTTTTCTTGACTGGACTCGTCTCCTTAAACTGTTATTGTATTTTTGAAAAATATTCTGTCATATTCTGACATTCTGCAGCAGCTACAATTCTCTCGTGCATCATTACTTACTTTACAGTACTCAATATTAAAGCTCTTGGCCTCCTTTGCACGCCTCCTCTCAATTTTGAAGATGTACTGCATCACTAACAAGGCCTTAAAAGCCATAGTCTTTATAAAATGATATTTTATCTAGAGTCAGTGCTTTGCATTATATTCTAGTCCACTTTGTTCTAGAATATGGAGTAGTCATTTGGTACCCTTACCAATAAAGGACCAGATAAAAACTGAAGGAATACAAAACTTTTTCGCCAATTCCGCTTTTCTACTAAAAATACAGCACTCTCTTCACGCCTGCATCGCTGTCCACTATTTTCTTAACATTCCTAATTTGGCTGATCGTTGGACCAACGCTGATCTCTATTTTATTTTTTCAACCAATCTTAACTCCATCAATGCTCCTAATATTCTATTTACCATATCTTTTCGCTCTTTTTGTACTTATAAAGGCGTTAAGTTTTAAAATAAAAATTTAAATACGAATATATTAATTTATATTGTATTTTTAACGCGGTTATTTATAAATTTATGCAGGTAATGATATTTTAAGAATAACTACACGTGAAAAGGAGAGAAGTTTTCTTACTGGAAAAGCTTTACATAATTTACTTAAGCAAATATTTTGTGAGTATTTATGTATAGAGTTTGAGTGGTACTGCTTTTCTAAAAACATCTATTTTTTACAGGTGTTTCATAATATTTGATAACATAATCAATATTTTTTTAACTGATTGATAATTTTTGGTTTTTCTTTTTGGAGACACTATAATTTATGTTATTTTTTAATATTACGCGATATTTAAATTGTTTTCTATAGCTGAGGGTTTTTTTTGGTTTTATGTTAATACTACCTATATTATTTGGACATTGATTAATTAGAACTGTTAAGGATAAATATAATTTTATATAAATATAAAATACATCAGATTGATTAACAATAAAAATTTGTATATATTATTGTTACAGATATTCCTGCATTTGATAATAAATACCAAAGTAATTACATTCGTAATTCGTTAGTATTAAATATACATTTTATCTTGTTTGAAAGATACATTTGTTTTTTATGTATTTATCTGTTTACACAATAACTACAATAAAATACAATTTTAATTGGTGAGACTTAATAACATATAACGACTATTACTTTTACGGTAATATTTTAAACGGCGTGAATCAATTTTTAACAATACACTTAAGCTCACGAAGCGGTTTCTGATCCTTCTACTACGACATAAATATTTGTATTCAGTATTACCCTATCTGTGGACTGATGCCTCCTACAACTGAACTTAATTTTTTTTTTGACTGGATTTATCTCCTTGGTCAAATTGTGAGATTTTTTAACAAATCGTAAACCACTCCTGCAAGATTATTTTCTTTGTTATATCCTAAATTTTGAAGATCACTTAAATGTGTTTGGTTTCACGTAACATTATACATTAAATAATTGGTAAACTATGTCATTTTTAGAGTGACTGTTATGTATGAAAACAACAACCTGTTTTGATTAATTATGATTATATATAATTGTTTTGTTTTTTTGTTACAGGTATTTCTGCACATGATGATAAATTTGAAAGAGTTTACAACACTTCTCGTTAGTAGTAAATAGAACTTACGACTTTTTTGAAATATTCAATTTGCTTTATATATTTTTTTGTCTACACAATAATTACAATAAAATAAATTTTTAGTTGGGAGACTTCTTTCAGGGGTTCTAGAATATGGAGTAGTCTTTTAGTACCATTACCAAACAAAGATCCAGAGGACAACTTAGCAAATACAGAAAATATTTTTAGCCTGTGTCGTCTTTTTACTAAAAACACACAACCCTCTTCACAATTACATCACTGTCCACACTTTCTTTAATATTCTTACCTTAGCTAATTTTCGGACTAACGCTGATCTTCATTTTATTTGTGCACCCCTTCTAGACTTTACTAACGCTTCTGATATTCTTTTTACCATATCGTTTTACGTTTCTTCCCACTCTTTTTGTACTCATTAAGGCGTTAAGTTAAAAAAAAAGCGAATATATTAATAAATATTATATTTTAAACCCAGCTATACATATTTATGCAGGTAGAGCAATTTTAAAATTGACCGAACTTGGAAAGGCGAGAAGACTTCTTACTGGAAAAGCTATAAGAAATGTACTAACTCAAAAATTAGGTGAATATAAATGTACATTTTTAATGGTATTTGTTTTTTATTAACAGCTAAATTCTACAGCGTGATTAATTATTAAAGATAAAGTAACAATTTTTTTTTAACTGCTTGAAAATTTGTGGTTTTTCTTTTTGGAGACGTTTTAAATTTTGTTCTTTTTCAATGTTACACAATATTAAAAAAATATTTTTAGAGCGTAGGGGCTTTATTGGCTTTATGTTATAATTATAATACTGGCATTGACCAATTTATTTTTAGCTTTTCTATAAATTTTTTTTTTTTTGTTTTTTCTATAAGGTTTGGAAATTTTTAACAACTATTTTCTTAATTTTTAGCTGGACTGATTTCATATGACAAGATGTATTCAGTTCATAGAAATTGTACTTTGATAGCAATGTGGTTTACTTTAAAAACAGCTTCATTAACGGCTGATAGTGTACGTCATGTGCAGGATATTGATATTTGTATAGTATATGATAAGGACTGGAATGCTGTAAAATACAGACCATTTAAGAGCATATATTGGCAAGTAAATGTCAATAAAATGGATACTAAAATAGAAGAATTAAATGTACAGCTACTCGACGATTCCAGTATCCCAAAATTTGAGAAACAAGCAACATGTATAACTTTTTAGACTAGTAATCAAATTTATAATACTTTAAAATTATAAATAAATGAATAAATAATTTTTGCATACTGCATTAACATTTAAATTATTAATTAATTAAATGTGTTTTCTAAAATAAATTGTTTTGCTCACCATTAAAAACTCATAATTTGTTGCTTAAGAGTTATTATTATTATTGTTGCGTACCTATACATTTTTTTTACTGGGAATAAGTTTTGAGGTCTAGATTGGTAACCTATGAGGAGGAAGACGGTAGGCTCTCGCCTGACTATTTTTTGCCCGAAGAAAGATAATAATTTATAATGTTATCAGTTCAATATTCAATTTTATAAGAACTATTGTATTTGTTATTGAATGTTTTTAGGGTTTTCCTTAATAAACAAAAGTTTTGGGTGTATAAGGTAGACGTAGATACAGACATATCGGTAACGCTTCGAATGCTATTATGAACCCGATTATTTTGAGTTAATGTGCGATTATGAAGTAAAACATTTTAGATTTTTTTTTTATTTAACATTATTATCTCGGTGGTGACACGACTTTTATATATTAAAACATAAACATTACATTTTCAATTAACATAATAATTAAATTTACTGCCCCAACGAAAAGGGTCGTATCTCGTTTTTAGCAACTTTTCAGGATGGACCAAACAAACATTTAAATTTAAATTCTTATTCTGTTTTTCAACATATCAGCTAAATATTATCATAACATGCTATAACATGTATCTAAATTTTCAAACTGATATGTTAAAAACAGAATAAGAATTTAAATTTAAATGTTTGTTTGGTTCATCCTGAAAAGTTGCAAAAAACGAGATACGACCCTTTTCGTTGGGCAGTCGAAATATGTACTTGAGACAACACCATGAATGTTACTAAATTATTCAGTTTTTTTGTTTTTTGCTATTAATTGAATATAGTAAATTTTACAAGAAAAATTTCGTAGTTAATTGCGTTTTGTTATGATAAAAGTATTTCATCCATACTACACATACTTTAACTAAACATTTACATATTATACTGGGGATCTCTCTGCTGTAAGACAATAATTTTTCAAAAAAATATGAATATTATGAAAATTATTTGGTTGTTTTATAATTTACTATATTTTTCAATACTAAAAAAAGTTTCAATATATGTATATATAAATACATATATAAGAGCAAATTTGTTATGTTATAGTCCCATCTGAGTTCTACCTTTAGTCTAATTTTCCAAAATTACGGTAAAAAAAATTAAATAAAGAAAACGTATCTAGCCTTAATCTGATTTGTTTTTATTGTTTATCAACTAATTAAAAAGAAGTCCAATACCTTCATAGGATTATCCACTTTACTTTACTTAACTAATTTTTTGTTTAAGCAGCAAGTCGCTTATTTGATCCAAACAGGTATTCGTCTTGGTAATTGCTTATTTTCCCATTCTTTTGAGTATAATTTTTTTGGAAATCAATAACTGGTTAGTAAAACGTTGAAACTACGCTTAGGAATAATGTCAATATGTTAGTCAAATGAAAAATGACTATGTTGCTTATGTTAATAGTATTCGCAAAAACAATTCTGAAAAACATATGTACATTGCATTGTTTGCGTCGACATAGTAGATTCTATTCGACAAGTCGTAAAAAAACCTTCAAGTAGTCGGTTTAACTATCGTTGCAATTGCTTAAGTAAGTAATATTATTAAAACTTTAAAACACTTTTAATATGTTTTTCTAATTTTCATATTTATGTAAGTTACAGAAAGTTGAAAACCAGAGTTATTCCATTCTAGTGGTTAAGAAGTTGAATTTTTCTACTTTTAACCCACTAAAGTCACCAAATCACATATAATTTCAGATATCCAAAGTAAATCGGGCCATAGTAAAACATGGCATCGTGATTGCAGATAAAATAAAACCACACACCATAAGAATACTAGCTCGGCGTCGATGCTAAAAAACAGCTTTGCAAATAAACCAAAAACGTTTTGCTGAAAATTATGTTTTTGTTTTAATGTATTGCCGATATATGGACAAACAAAATTTACATAGAAGTCGAACGTAGTCGTAATTTTAAATAAAAATACTCAAGCACCTAAAATTATAGAAAAAATTATTTAAAAACATTTTATGTTTTCCAAAAAAATGAGTGGCTTCAACCAGATGGATCTCGCTGTAATATATTATAACATAGTACACTAACAGCTGTGAATCCAAAAAGCGTAGGCTCACTTTTTTAAATTTGGTTGTAATAATACAAGTGGTTTATGGAGACATTATCGTAATATAATGTATTTAACTTCGATTGAAATTGTTTTTTAGCATTGTAGTAAATTACTTGTAGCAATTGTTTTAGCACAGTCATAGAATATATATTTTAGATTCGACGCAGAGCAGCGAAGGTATTGGTTTTACTATGAGTGGGCTTTTTTTTTATTTGTATACACTGTAACTTGTTTAATACTGAACCAATTCCTTCGATTAGCAACTCTATAAAATACAAATTTCATCTTGTTGGTACTTTGGGGGGGCTCCAAATAACAATAATTAAATACTTGGTGTACACGAAACATAAAAGATGCTTACTAAGTGTTACATCGACCTACTAACTACATAATACATGGTATTTTGGTTTATAATTCCATTTCTGCAAATGTTTGCGTTTATTTTTTTAAATACATCTAACTGCCTATAGGTGGAACCTGTATATTTTTGTTTAACTCGACCTCTAACTATACCGTCCCAGAATACACCCAATTCAACTACATAATACATCTAAAAAAATTCCTCTTAAGTAATTGAAATTAACTCGAATTATCCTAAGATTTATTTTTCTAGATAAAAATGAAAATTTCCTGGTTTTTATTATCATTTATCTGCGTAAATGTTTTGGCAGATATAAGTATAAGTAAGTATTTTATTTTCATACTTACACACACTAGGAAGATAAAAATCTAAAAAAAAAATTATTTACTTTTTCTTTACAGTGGATTATATAGAGTTGGTTGAAATTTCAAGTAAGTAATATTTTATAATTATACAGACTAACTTAGTGAGTTCTTAAATTGTACGATTTTTATACAAACTTATTTTTTAAAAACATTTACTACAGACGAGCAACTCCGGAAAGCTTCTGCACATAAAGTTCAAATTATTGAAAGTAAGATAATAATTAATATACTAATATGAAATTGTTGTGCAATGATTGCCTAAGTGTCAAATTATTTGTAAATCAAATATCAATTTATTTAAATATTTAAGAGGATTCCATCCATGCATTTTTACGGTATAAAAATATGAGGTGGCTTTCATGATACAGTGTTTTCACAAAATGACTAAAAAAAAAAGTTACCTCTAACACCTGAAAGTTATGAACTTTGACTTTGTTATGTAAAAATGTTGTAAATAATTTCCAACACCCAACTTCTTAAAACATGAGCGGAGTGGCATCTTCATAAAGTAGTAGTTTTATATTCTCGATTGGGTTTGTGCACTATCGCACATGGACATGACCCTTCAATAAAAGTTACTATAATTTACCGTGACACACCTGACTCTAGAACTTGACAATTTACCCCAAAAAGGGTAGTCGCTTAATGTATAGTGTAATTATTTCAAATGATTTTTATAATAATTTTTTATTTTATTTGGAACTTTTCTATAGGTCAAACCTTTATAGATGGATTGGAGCATGTACTTACAGACATGATAAATACAGGACACTGTGAAATGAGTAATAATAATTATGTGATAAGAAAAAAAATCTTGGTTATAGAAGAAATATATATATATAAAAAACAAAAATGTATCATTAACCCTTTGGATAGAATAGAAAATTAAATTCAATACCATTAACTTTTGTATTACTAATTTCAGAGCATTACAATCAAATGTTCACTGTACCGGGTAATACTTTTAATAGCCTTTTATGGAAACATTTCCACACATTTTTTTAATAATCATTAAGTATACAAAGTTTTCGTTTTAATTTCAGAACGTGCGCAAACTCACAACTTTGACCTTCTACAAGGTAATCAATTTTTACTTTAATATATTTCGAAATTCATATTTTTAATGCTTAACAAATAATTACATGTATATTTTTGGTTTTTATTACAAGCAAATATGTACATGCAAGTTTATTTTATTTTAAAATTTAGATGCCATAAACACAGAAAAATATACTTTGCAAAAGAAATTATTGGAAACAATAGGTGAATATTTTCAGTTAAAATTTTTTTAAGACTGATAAGCATCTTAAACCGTTAATGTAAACAATATACAAAAATATTAGATTGTTATATTTCTTGGTATTTCAAGCAAATTTTTAAACAATTTCACTGTATACAGAATAGAATTAGGTTCATCAAGGAATAATAGTTCATAAGAACTTTTGTAATGAAAAAAACTAGATTATTATGAAATTCATTGTAAAGAAAGCATTTTTTCAAACGTTGCAACTTGCATTTTATGCCAGTAAAAAAACGTTGCATTTACTAACTGGTCAAAGTTTTTTAATTTTTCGAGTGACTGTTTTAGATAAACACAAGAACCGGATTTAAGTAGCTGTATAACTGTTTTATGTTCCTGTTTTTCAATAGTTAATTAATATTAACGCCATATTTGGCATTGACTAATTGAAACTGTTATGGATAAATACAACAAACCGGATTTGATTAACTAAATCATTTTTTAAATTATTTTTAAAGGTATCACGGCGGCTGATGATAAAAACCAAAGTTATTGCCAGTTATTTGTTAGTAGTAAATAGAACTTATGGCTTGATTGAACGATATAATTTATTTTATATTTTCTTTAGTTTACACAAGAATTACAATCAATTTAGTAAAATTTAGTTGGGGAGACTCAATAACATATAACAACTATTATATTTACGGTTATGTTTCTGTTAATACTACACTTGGCATTGATTAATTGAAACTGTTATGAATAAATTCAACAAACCTGGTTGGATTAACTACATAATTGAATTATTTTTTTCGTTAAAGCTTGTATTCCGCGTGATGAAAAAAACCATAGTAATTACAAAGTTATTCATTAGTAGTAAATAAAACTTATTGTTTGTTTGCACGAACGATTCTTTATATATTTCATGTTACATATTATATTATATTTTCTAAATTTGTATCATCCTTTTTATTATACTGTTTATTGTTCTTCATATATTGTACTTTGTATGCGTTATTTGTGTAATAAATGCGTATAAGGACTGAATATACCTACTATTAATTATTGTATTATTAACCAGCTTATATTATATAATTTTAAAAGGTAAACCCATTTCCAAAAGAAAAAAACCTGAAAATTGTATTACTCGAAGTTTTAAAAAATTAGGTAAGTATAAAATACATACAATTTTAACGATATAACATTTTTACACTTTTTTTTTACAGCATGATTCTTTATGGATAACACAATCCACTTTTTTTAATAAACTTTTCTATTGAACATCTTGGCCTCCTGTATATTATGCTTGTCACATAAATGCAGTAGCTGACACGTCCTTAAAGAGCCGTCGGCTTAATATTAATACTATATTTTGCATTGATTGCGATACGAAAGTAGCGCGCCTACTTTAAACGTATGTAACATATAAAATGCGTTGTCGCTAGGAGATTATAGATCAGAAATCATCACTGTTCAGGAGCAAGCAGGCTAAAGCATGTTCCATGTTTTATATTTTTAGTCTTTAAGTAGACTGTAACATTTGTTTTCTGAATTTACATATTTAATGTCGAAAACTTGCCATCTTTGTAAATGATTGGCAGCATAAATTGGAATACACTTTTGCCCTCCGAATATGTTTATAAATGGTTTATGGTCAGTTATTAATATTGATTTCCTGCCATACATATTATCATTCGATTTTTGAATACCAAATATTATAAGAAGTCCTTTTTAATTCTATAGGTGGAAATTTGCATTCAGCGTCAAATAATAATCGAAACACTATCATTTGAATTTTCAGATAAAAATTTAGTTTGCGACAGTAATTTTGCTTATCATTCTAAGCTTCTTTGCACATATGAGCCGAATGACCTTTTTGATTACAGATGATGCAGCTGTAGTCCTTGAACCAACAATCCCTTTGTGGTTAGTTTGTACGACCACATATCCTAAAACTTTGTTTATTTGAAGTTGTCTGGCGATCAGCTGGTTTGAACTTGCGCTATTGCCTCTGGTCGACTTCGTCTTCTCAATTATATTTATCTTTCATAGTAGCCTCTTTGGCAGTAACTTTTTCTGAGAGGCTTGTGAATTTCGTGCTTTTTTTAGAAGCATCTTGTTCAAGTAGTCGGGTTTGTACTTTCCCTGGATCCATACCCACTACGAAAATGACATAGGCGTGCGTTGATAGAAATTGCATTTAGATGCATGGTTTTTGAATAAAGCACCCCATTCAGCAACTGTTTAAACTGTACGTTTTTTGGCTTAATAAAACGCATGTCTTGCAGCAATGTAGGACCTTACTGGCTTATAGTAGTTATTTAAAAGGCCAATTAATGTAGCATAAGTCTGAGTGTCTGGTGTGCTTGAAACGCATAACCTGAATACTGTAAATAATTTAAATTTAATTTGAATAGACAGTATGGTCTGTATGAGAAATATAGAGTTTTCTTAGTCGCCGATTTGTTATATTCTAGTATGAGAGATAACACAAAACATAAAATGAATAACCAATTAGTGTCATCTTCTCTTTTGGCCGCAACCATCGTATTCATAGAAAGTTGCATAGTGCCAATGCTGTTTATATATTTTAAATTCCTTAGCTCAAGCGTTTTTATTGTAATTTTCTGTTTTGTTTCATATTATATATTTTCTATCTTTGTATCATACGTCTCATTATACCATATAATTTTTTAAAGGTAAAAACATTTCCAAAAGTAACAAACATGAAAATTGTCTTACTCGAAGATTTAAAAAATTAGGTAAATATAAATATACAATTTTAAAGATATTACATTTTTACACTTTTTTTATAGCATGATTCTTTATGGATAATACAATCAATTTATTTTTAATTATACTGATAATTTGTTTTTTTTTTTTTAGTGATACTTTAATTTTTTATTTTACAGTATAACAGATACATTTAAATTTATTTCTAGAACGGGAGGGGGCTTTGTCGGCTCTATGTTAATACTATATTTGGTATTGATGAATTGAACTGTTATAAATGAAAACAACAAACCGGGTTTAAATAACTATATCGACTGCCCAAACGAAAAGGGTCGTATCTAGTTTTTTGCAACTTTTCAGGATGAATCAAACAAACATTCAAATTTTAGTTCTTATTCTGTTTTTAACATATCAGTTTGAAAATTTGGATAACATTTTATAGCAACATGTATCCAAATGTATAATTCTCTTTATTTTATTAAACTCAACAGAGAGAATTTTGCAAACATAAGAAGTTACTGTTTTTGCATAAATATAAACATAAACTATTGCCTCCTACAGACTAAACATAATTTTTTTCTTTATGAGACCGTCTATCACTGTATGTTGAAAAAATGTCATATTTTGACATCAGTTTCGCGAATATTTCTTTCATGGTATTTCATTACAACAAGTTTTTTCTGTTAAAGATATTAACATCGTATTTTCACCTTCTCAACATTTTAGAGATCACTCAAATGCGTAAGGATAAAAGGTCCTCAAAAGACATGGGTTTTATGTTAATGCTATGTTTCGCATTCATTAATTGTTCATATTATTCTCATTTTTATCACTGTTATGGATAAATATATCAAACCGATTCGATTAACTACATAATTGATTTGTTTTTTTGTTACAGGTAGTACTGCGAATGACGATGAGAAAAATAGAATTTACGAAGCTACTGGTTAGTAGTAAATATAACTTATATCCTGTTTGAAAAATAAAATTTGCTTTGTTTAAAATTTTGTTCATACAACAATTTAGTTTTATTTGGGGAGACTTCATTAAGGGTTCTAGAATGGAGTAGTAGTTTAACACCATTTTAAAGATAGGATAAGAATTGAGCGAATACAGAATACGTTTTTAGCCTATATCGCCTTTTTACTAAAAATACAGCACCCTCTTCATCGACTTCAACTTTTCTTAACATTATTTAATAGCTTCTTTACCTTGGCTGATCTCTATTTTATGTGTTCAGATCTTCTAGGCTCCATCAATACTGCTGATATTCTAATTACCATATATTTTTTCGTTCCTTCCCACTCTGTTTGTACTTATTAAGACATTTAATTTTAAAATAAATACGGATATATTATTAAATATTATATTTTCAAACCAGTTATTTATACATACATTTATGCAGATCTTGAAACTGCACAATTGGAAAAACTTGGAATGGCGAGAAGAGATATTACTGGAAATGTTATAATAAAAGTACTTACCCAAAAACTAGGTGATAATAATTATAGAGTTTTAATGCTATATTTTTTTCAACAACATATATTTTTTACCGCATGATTCACTATGGATAACACAGTAGTTTTTAGGCTACTTAACACAACCAATATGTTTTAACTAATTAAAAATTTGTAGTTTTTTTGTTATTTTATAATATTTAGTAACATACATAATATTTAATACAACGTTTAAATTTTTTTCAAGAACTCTTATAACAAGAATAAATTACTGCAAATGTCGAGAACTAGTTTTGGATAAATAGTTTCAAATTAATTTTCCCTCCCTTCCGTTTTGTCAATAGCTTGAAAAATAACTATACCCTAACTATCCCACAATTTAATATAACGTTTAAACTTTTTTCAAGAGCTTTAATGACAAGAATAACTTGCTGCAAATGTTACTGGTCGAGAACTAGTTTTGGATAATTATTTTTAAATTAATTTTCCCTCCCTTCTGTTCTGCTACTATCTTAAACGGGAATTTGTCCTATTGTTACTCTTAATTCTTTCAACTATTTTGATTATTGTAGTCACTTTTTGGACTTTTTTATGAATTTTCACCTCGTTTTTTGGGTTTTCTAAGCTTGTTTGTGGGGACCCCAGTTTGAAATTTGCACATTTAAAATACATTTTTTCAGCTTTCTAAAAGAAATTCTTTAATTTTGGGCAACACAAAAAACACACATTTATAAAATACAAAATTCATATTTAATGACAATTAACAAAAATAAATAAAACAAAAACATAGTTTTTTTCAGAAAGCTGCGTTTTTACTATTATACATATTATATGTAATTGTGTTACTTATTTTATTTACGTTTAGTAATTGTGTCTTGTACAAAAAAGAAAATTTGGCAATTTTTAACAACTGTATTCTGATTTTCTAGCTGAAATCGTCAAGGAGGACAAGAAGTATCCTGCTGATAAGATTTGTGTTTTGTTAGGAATATGGGTTAGTCTAAAAATGACTTCAAACACGTTCTATATAAGCAATGGTGATGTATGCGAAGTACAAATGTTAGGGCGTACATTTAAAAATATTTTAAAATACAGATCATTTGGAGGCATATATTATCAAGTGAGAGCAAATGACATTAATAGTCAAATAAAAGAACTAAATGTACAACTACAAGAGGGTTCCGGTATTCCAGTTGAGTTTACACCTGAATATAAATAAATAAATACTTTTTGCACATTGCACTCATTTATTTCATTTTACATATATTTATTTATTGGTATTATTATGTGGTATTGTTGTTTAGTTATCAGTAATATTAGAATTATTATCTTTAAAATCATCAGCTATTTGTCATATGAAAAATAAATAAAAAAAATTCTAAAATAAACTCTTTTCCTCGTGATTTAAAACCCATTTGTTGCGAGTTATTATTATTATTGCGTATCTATGGTTTTATTTTGACCGGAAGTAGACTTCATGTCCTAGTATAATACTTTCTTGATGTGCTGGTTTATACTGTGCTCGGTTTGAGCTGTACTGGTTTGATCCTATTATCCACAGATTCGCATCTAGGCATCTATGTTATTCTATTAATTGAATAACGTACATGTATTATTTATTGTAAGTCTTCGTTAGTTTTCCCTATAGATATTGTAAGGGTCATAATTGTATTTGTTTGATGTTTTGACAGAAGTCTATAAATAATTTCAAGTTAATAATAGAATAGTATAATTGAAACGTCCATACTTGTTGATTCACAATCATAGAGCAACATTGAAATGTACTCGGTTAAAGTTAATTTTCTGATTTTTTTTTTTTTGTTATTACTCATTATAATGTGATTATAGTCCCGTTAGTGTAATTTTCTAACTTTAAATTTCGGTAAAAAAATTAAAAAAGGAAATATTCTTCCCTTTTCTATTTTTACAGAAATAATAAAATAAGACATAAATAATACTCACTGCAATATTTTCGTCGCCGATTGGGCATATAAAAACCAGTTTTTTTTACCTCGCTATTCATACTAAACCGTATTGACTTTTGTTCCAACGTGCCATTACATCATCAAGATTTGCTAATCAACATTTCAACTTTGTAAAGTAAAAACTTTTAGATACCACCTTTATAACCGCGGTAGACACTTAACGGAGATAATAATATTATGTAACTTTGTTACCTTTTACAGAAATACATAAAAAAGTACAAAAAAAAAACAACGACAAATTTAATTCAAAATTTCTATAAATAATTAGTTATTTGTATTTGATTGAATGTTCAAAATGCTGCCCATTTGATGTCATACAAAACTCTATTCTTTTTTTTTACCTCACTAGAGGTTACATTTTTTAATATATCCTTTGAAATATTTTGACAAACGTTAGTTATTTTATTTTTTAGTTTTTCAACGATTGGATTTCCGGACTCATGTCCCCATAAAATTATTTTTAAAAGCCCCCCGGAAAAAATGATTTATTTAAGATTGGTAAATATCATAACTAAATTAATGTTCAATAATCTTCGAAAAATGATGAAAGTATGATTGATAAATTGTTATTGATTACTGAATTGATAAATGATAATATTCTACGGGAAGTAGGCTTATCAGTATCGAACACTGATTACACTATAGTGTTTTCCATCTGATTGCACGTCTAGTGTAAACCGTTTGCATGATAATGACTGTGTATCATCAGTGTAATAGATAATACAAATTCCATGTACATTGTACTGGTGCAGTATAAATTGTATATGTATACACGAGTCTAGAAAAACGTCACCATGAGTTTCGACATTTTAAATTAAATTAAATCTGACATTTGATCTACCATAAATACAAATATTAACGAAATATGAATACAATTTGCTTAATTGATAAAAACAAATATTGCTACTTTTTTTGTTAAAATGATTTCATTCATGTAAGAAACTGGAAATCAAAAGCTACCACATATCATAAAATCTTAATTTTTTTTAAATTAAAAAAATTAATAGTCAACTATAATTATGGAGTGACTTGTGTAAAAGAAGCTACTATTTTTAACATTTAATGGTACTAATAAAAAAAAAATGGTGAATAACACTCAACCCAATTCACTCGCCATACTTTTATGGAACGCTAACGGTATTAAAAATAATATACTAAATGAACTTCTATTAGTCTTAAATGAGAATAATATAGACATTGTCATTATTACCGGAACACACCTAACATTTAGATCTCAGCTAGTACTCCAAGATTTTGAAGCCTTAACAACAAACCATCCTGATGACTCAGCGCACACTGGAGTAGTAGACCGGTTTAGATATTTGTCGGGGATCCATTTTTGACGGAGACATGTTTAGCGGATCACACGTCAAATTAAAAAAAAAAAGAGAGACAAGGAGAAATAATAACAAATATATATACAATTTAACACAATTTTTGGTCCGTGGTACTGGGCGTAAGCCCGTTTATTAAATGTTCTCCGCTAAGAATAAAAAATAAATAAAATATATATTATTGTGAAATGGGTCGTTGTGGAAAAGGTGGGTAAATGTCTACTCCAACCCATACATAGGTCTTACAGAGTTCTCTTCCGGGGTACATCTAAGTCATCTAACTCGAGAACAATCCAGGCATTTCAGTCGATATGCCTGCGAATTGTTACTAAGGCGCCTTGGTTTGTCACCAATAAACAATAACACAAAGACTTAAAAAAAAAACCGTTACAGAAGTTGCCTCTTTATACTACTCTAGATACCACAGTGAACAGCCAAACATCCAAATAATCTTATCACCCAGCTCGGATAATACATTTTTCAAATAATGTTAATATTTCTAAAAAAAAAAAAGTAATAATAAACTCTTATATAATTTGATAATTAAAAAACAACAATAACAAAAAAAAAAAAAAAAAACATGTGCAAAGTTAACTTATGTGTTTTAAAATAAATATTACTGTCTTATAATTGGTATATTTTATAAAAATTAAAATCGCTTCGCTGGTTTTTTGCTGCATTCGCATTTTGATTTGATATTTAATAGTAATATTGATTTGACATAAATTTGCTAGCTTTTTACAGTGTCTATTCCCCTAATGTGCTGATTTTATCTTATTTACTAAAGTTATTAATTTCTTAAACTTTAAACTTTTTGCAATTTGCATATTTTATTATTTAAAAACAACCGATGGTCCAATGTGAGAAAAATAATATAGCCTTCTTAGTAGTAACCTAAATATCAAAGTTATCGCCTCTGCTCTGGCTTTTGTTTTATGATTTTAAAGATCACAGGGTTTTGTAAAATCAATAACTGGTTAGTAAAACGTTTAAACTACGCTTAGAAGTAATGTAAATATGTTAGTCAAAACGAAAAATGACCATGTTGCTTATGTTAATAGTAATCGCAAAAACAAAAATGAAAAACACATTTGCATTGCTTATTTTCGGTCGACATAGTTGATTCTATTCGACTAGTCGTAAAAAAACCTTTAAGTAGTCGGTTTAACTATCGTTGCAATTGTTTAAGTATGTAATATTAAATATTATTAAACTTTGAAAAACTATGTTTTTCTAATTTTCATATTTTTTCAGCATATACGCTTTCGACACCATTTAATCCACTAGTCCATTTCATTATACATCAAAGCCATAAGTAAGTATAATACTATCAGATTTTCTTTTTAAATTATTTTTAATATCAAATACCATTTTTGAAAAATGAAATCCTGCGGGAGTGCAGGATTATTGAAACTTGGATTTGAGGTTATTTGAGTATAAGGGCATGGCTGATAAACATTCTATTACAATTTTGTCTAGATTTTGACTATTTTTCGCTATGTTATAGAATGTTGAAAAACCGACAACTTTTTTTTATAGGTTTTTCTCAGTTCTGGTGGTAAAGAAGTTGACTTTTTCTACTTTTGACCTACTAAAGTTACCAAATCACATATAATTTTGGATATCTTAAGTTAATCGGCCATAGTAAAACATGGTATCGTGATTGCAGATACAAAAAAAACACACCATAGGAATAGTAGCACGGCATCGATATTAAAAAACAGTTTTGTAAATAAACTAACAATGTTGCGCTGCAAAATATGTTTTTATTTTATTTTATTGCTGATATATGAACTAACATAATTTACTTAGAAGTAAAACGTATTCGTAGTTTTAAATAAAAAAGAATAATTGTTCGTAGTTTCTCGCTGCTTTGTTTATGATAAAAGCTTTCGTCCAAACAGCACATACTCTAAATAAAAGTTCACGCCGTATGCTTTGGTGCTTGTTGTTTTATTGTTCTGAATCACATAAAAACATGTTGATGCAAAGTTAGTTTACATAATTTATATATACATACAAGTTTGCTTATATATACAGAGTGATTCTATTATCGTGAACCACTCAATATCTCATAGGGTTTAATAAGAAATTAAATATTTTTTTACATATTGGTGTTATACAATGTGATCTCAATTTTTCACTTTTTTTTGTTTGTACCCCCCTCCAAACTTAGTTTTTATAGTAACGTATATATTTTATTACCTTTTTAAATTGAAAATAATGTACTAAAAATGTTGACTGGTCGATAATCAGTTTTTTTTTTTTTTTTGTGATCAACCCTAAGGTTGGTTTTGCAATTTTCCAAAATTTCTCCATTCATCTCTATTGTCAGCTAACCTCTTCAGCTCCTTATAGTTTGCTAGACCCGCATCGGAAATCATCCTTTTGATATAAGACGTTCTTGGTCGTCCTCGATCTCTTTTGCCATTCATCTTCCCTTCTATTATAATATACAGGAGCTCTTCTTCGTGTCTTAAGACATGACCAATCATATTCCATCTTCTTTCTTTTATGGTGCTAAGTATCTTCCTGGTTTCATTTATTTCGTTTAAAACATTTTCGTTAGTTCTTCTTTCTACCCAGCTTACTCGCAACATTCTTCTCCAGCACCACATCTCGAAACTTTCGAGGAACTTTCGTTCCGCTTTGTTTAATACCCATGTTTCGCATCCGTAAAGTGCGACACTCCACACATATACCTTTATCAGCCGTTTCCTCATACGTATACTCATGTTTTTAGAGCACAGTAGGTTTCTTTTGTTC